TTATCGAGACAGAATTCACATACATACAATTTGATGACTTTTGGTATCACCAGAGTCGCACAAACATTGTTATAATAAACATTTTCATTTTCTTAAAAGAAAACCTATTAGCCATCACCCCCCTTCCCCACAGGCCCCCACACCTGGTTACCCCTAATCTACTTCCTGTCTTTATAAATTTCCTATTCTAGACATTTTATATAAATGGAATTGTACAATAGGTGGGGTTTTATGTGTGCGGTTTCTTTCACTTAGCATAATGTATTCCAGGTTCATCCATGTTGTGATGTTTGTCAGTACTCTATTCTCTATCAATTAATAATATTCAATCATAAAGATATACTACATTTTATTTATCCTCTCATCAGTTGATGGACCTTTGGACTGTTCTTTGATTATTACAAATAATGCTGCTATGAACAATCATATGCAGGTATTTGTGTGGATGTTTTTGTTTCTCTTGGGTACATACCTAGGAGTGGAATTGCTGGGTCATATGGTAACTCTAGGTATATTATTGGGAGGAACTGTCAGACTGTTTTGCAAAGCAGCTGCACTGTTTTACAGTCCCACCACCAGTATATGATGGTGCCAGTTTCTCCACATTTTCACTCACACTTGCCATGTCTGTCTTTTTTATTATAAGCCATCCTAGCAGGTGTGCTAAGACATTTGTTCTCAAGGTTTATGGCACTTCTAATAGGGCAGCTGAATTTGGCCTGTTGACATGGTTCTTGAGATCAAGACCTAAAGGAGTGATCTTTTCTGAATTTAGATCACCATTTTATAGAAACTTACTAATGAGTTTCCCCTCTTCACGTATACCATTCTTTGGCTAACCAGAAAAGAGGCACCTTATCTTTAAAAAGGTGTAATTTTTCTTCCTTATTCACCAGTGAAATATTCCAATTCTAGAGATATTGTTGGTATAAATTTGTGTCCAGGACTTCCCTGGCAACCCAGTGGTTAGGACTCCATTGCTTTCACTGCCGAGGGCCTGGGTTCAATCCTGGTTGGGGAACTAGAATCCTGCAAGCTGCCCAGCATGACCCCCTAACACACAAAAATTTGCTTACATACCGTTTTGTTTTGTTGTCGTTGTTTTTTTTTTTTCTTTGCATAGCCACCTATCTGCCCACAGCTGAAACCACTAATTTCCCCACCTGCAAGCCACATTGGGACAGAAGACTGGGGGCCAAGGCAGAAGTACTTAAGCAGCCGAAGTTTCCCTTCTATGCTCGCCAACAGATACAGTAACACCGCTCCTCTGCCTTCCCTGGGTCTTTCTTGTGGCCCGTGTGTTTAATCCTGTAACATCCCCACACGTGAGATAAGGCATCACTGTCCCTCAGCAAGGGTTGGGGAAATAAGCACACCTTCCTGGCTGCCAGGGGCCACACGGGGTGGGACTCAGTGTCCTAGTGCACGGTCTGTACTGTTTTCTCTTCCTGAATTCTCCCCTTTATTGTCAGCATCCAAAAAAAAAAAAGGTTTTAAGTGTACAGGATCCTTAGTATGGTTGACCTCCTCAGACATTTTGGTTTACTGTTTCTCCTCCTTTTCAGAAACTGGCCCTTTTTGAGAAGGACAGACAACAGGAGAATTCATATAGCTTGACTTTAGGATTCATTGTATGGGGAGGAATCAATATCCTGAAGCCAAACACCCAGAGCCCCCGTCTGCTTTTTGTATTTTTTTTACATTAGAGTTAAGTTTCAAATGCCCATTGGAAGTAACCTTTGGGCGGACATTCTTGCAGTTTTCTGTGATAAATTCTTATTTGGCTTGCCATAGTTCATTGTATCCAACTAGGAATAACCTTGGCCTAGTTGAGAGCTGGTAAATAGTACAAATACATGTGTCTGTCTATATTTGCAATTCCCTCCAGCCCCCAACTCTATCTTCCTCTTTTTAAGTTATAAGAACAAGGTGCCGTTGACATCTATCCTCAATATTAGTATCCTAACATGTGCTTATTACTGATTATTCTATTTTCCTGCCTTCTGATTCAGAAATACACCAATGTTTATCTCCAATGATGGAAGAGGAAGATTAAAACAATAATCTGCAGTAAGTACTCTTTCGGGTATTAATTCATTTCTTCAGTAGATGTTATTTAGTGCCTGCTATATGGCAGGCACCCTGCTAGGTGCTTGGGATGCAAAAATAAAATTCCTGCCTATAAGGGGTGCTGTGCAGTGGGACAAACAGACATATAACTGGATGATTATAATTGTGAGCATAGTAGTTAATGTATAGAATATTATGGGATCCCAAAAGAGAGGTACTTCACCTATCTTAGAGGCTGACTCCAGGAAGGGCGTAAATTATGTTAATGAAGATGTGAAATTCAGTTGCCTAAATTGGGCATGGAGAGAGTGATCAAGCTTTAGGTAATCAATTAGGTAACTCTGTAAGTTAGGCTAAAACCCTCAATAACCCTAAAGTAAAATATATGCCAGTTTCTAACTGATGATTCACATTGAAGGAGAGGGTCTAATATCATAAATAAGTGAACATTAAAGTTGCAGGGCTAGAGCTGGAAGTTGTAGGGTTTACTCGAAAGTTTTTCTCCTTTTTATGTTCCTCCCTTTGTATCACAGAAAGCAAATATGAGAAATGTGCCTGTAAGTGGAGGTCTTAATATCCTTCTTTGTGACATGGCCCCTGATATACTTGGGAGAAAATGAAGCAATCATCACTAGACTGAATGAGGAATAGTACTGTTTGTGGATAGAATTTTTTTTTAAAAGCTTAATTTGCAACCTTTGTCTTCATATAAAATTAAAATATGAAGAAAACTCAAGGCTAATTGCACTTGAGTTTTTCTAAGTCATGAATTTAAAGAGGTCAGCATAATCTTAAATCTTCGAAAAATAAGTTTAATCTTTACAACCACTTAGTGATAACTTCCATTTTATAGCTGAAAGATTTGAAGCACAAAGTTTAAAAAAAAAAAAAAACTTGTCTGAGATTATAGAGCTAGTAAGTAGCAGAGCAAGGATTTGAACCCAGGTCTATTGATATTTAAATCCAGTGTCTGTTACTTACCATAGCATCCTGCTGAAATAGAAACCTGTGTTGGGCCCATTGTTCTCTTGTTCTGTGACCATAAACTGACCCTGGAAGGAGTAAGCTATTAGAAATAACTGGTAAAAGTATCTAAAAAAGTGGTTGATCCAGAGCAAACCCAACATTGCTCCTGGAAAATACTGATAGTACAATCTTCAAGTAATAGTCAAATTTTGATATCATGGATGCCATTTAAAGTATAATCATTCTCATGAATATTTTGTAATATAGTCACTGAGAAGATAAAACAGAATTAAAATAACCTAGATTTAAATAAAGCATAAAATTAGATTAATAGAGGGAAGTAAAGAAGAGCATATATGTATGAAAACAGTATAAAAGTTAACTTTAGATGTTTGCTTTTTTAAACACCAATGACTTTAAGAACATTATACTAGTTTATATATTTTTAATATTATTTCTTTTCATGTTCATATAGCATGCATTGTCCACTCACCAAGACTATAAACCCTGATACCAATTATGTGGTTTTTTTTTTTAAAGGAATAAGCATTAAAATCATAGTCAGGAGAGGTTATCTCTCTGTCTGTTCTCATGTAGCTTAATAAATTTGAGAAAACATGTTGTGGATGTTTACATGGGATATATGAAAAAAAACTAACAATAAAATGATTTAACTTTGGTCTGTTAAATTTGGAGGAATTCGCTGGTGGGTTTAGAAGTGTATAAACATACCACTAGAGAGTGAAAAAAAGGGAAGTCTGTTGTAACTGAATAGGGGTGTGGTCTGCTCAGGCTAGAGAGCAATAGATAATAGTTTCATAAAGGGCTGATATAAACGTATGGTCTCCAGAACTGGCTATTAGAGCCCGCACATTTTCCTCACAGACATAATATAAGTTTGTCTGTTAAAACCAGCCAACTTGGTGGGTTAGGGAAGCCACAGCCTATGGATTTGGGCATGGGCACTCTCTGCCTCCATCTAATCCTCCGGGTAACAATATACCTACAACTCCTGTAACCCTAGAGCAGTTACATGGATGCACTAAGTGGTTCGATGGGAAGGAAAGATAGCATCACAAAGATTCGTTTGATTATCACAGTAATCCACACCAAGTCAAATAAAACAGCCCAACAGTTAAAAATGTGGTCTCTAATGAATTTGCTAATTCTAGCAGGCCCTCCCAAACATTTCCTGCTAGAGTACCCCGTATCGAAATGAAGTGGCTGTACTTTAATTTCATGGAAGAATCGTTTGATTTCCAGGAAGTTAAGACAGGGCTTTGTATTTAAATAAAAAGTTCCAGACAAGCTGTGAAATTCGAGCAAACCAAGAAAAAGGATGAAACCAAATGCCTGTTGGGTGACTCAAGATTTCAGCTGCTCTGCAAACCTGACAGTACGGGCTTAAGAGCCCAGAAAAGGGGTGTTTTAAAAGTGGCTGACTGGATCATTGTCACTTTCTTATAGGAAAAGCCCTGCCTTTCCAGAGATCTAAAGTGTAATGCAACCGTATGTGCTTGAGAAGTTCGAATCTTGGCTGCCTTCGCCCCTCTGCACAAACAGAAACCCCGGTTTTCGGGGACCGTGATCTCATCGTGTCGCTCTCACTTTTGAAGGTCTGTTAAAAGTCTGGGGCCTCTTATCTCAACGGCTGTGGAAGTGAGTTTGGGGTGAGAAAGGGGGGGGAGGTCTGTGGGTGTCTCTTTTGCTTGAGGAGTTGGAGACACTTGTGGAAAAGTCAGGCCCTTTTCGCTCCGGCGGCCGCTCGGGTGTGGGGCTGGCTTGGGTTAGACACATGCACACATACACCATAGAGCTCTGCTTTCCCGTAGCAGCTGCTGCCTCTGCCTCTGCCTCTCCCGCCTCAGCCTCTCTGCCCGGCACACACACACATTCAGATTTGCGCGCTGTTTCAATCCTTGATGACGTGTCCCCGGAGACAGCCAATAGCAGGCGGGCTCTGGTCAGGACAATGGGAGGTATCGGGCCAATGAGCGAGCCCCGTGAGTTGGCGGTAGCCAATAGGCGCGGCGCTGGCTGGAGAGTAATGTTACAGAGCGGAGAGAGTGAGGAGGCTGCGTCTGGCTCCCGCTCTCACAGCCATTGCAGTACATTGAGCTCCATAGAGACAGCGCCGGGGCAAGTGAGAGCCGGACGGGCACTGGGCGACTCTGTGCCTCGCGGAGGGTGAGTCCGGGGCAGCGCCGCGGCGGGGAGAGCGCCTCCGGCAGCTCCTCAGCCCGCGCGGCGGCCGGATCCCCGCGGCCGGGAGCCGGCGGGTCAGGATCCACACAAAGGCAAATGAGGGGGGACCGTGGGGGGAAACTGCGCACGGAGCGAGCCTCCCCTCGGGCGCCGGGAGCCCTGCCCCGCGCCGAAGCCCCGGCCCCCGGGGCCGCCTGAGGCGCCGCGAGCCCCGAGCCCCGCGAGTTTCCACCCCCGGCGGCGTCCGCGCTGACTGGCGCAAAAAAAAAAAAAATTTTTTTTTTTCCATTAAAAAAAAATTTTTTTAACGTGTTTTCGAGCCCCCGGGGCCGAGCGTTCGGGCGGCCGGCGTGCGCGGGGGGCGGCGGGCCGCCGGGCGGGCGGGCGGCGCTTCACGGCTGCATTGGCCGCCGCAGAGCCGGGCGCCGGCGGCGAGCGAGCGAGCGAGCGCGGGCGGGCGGGCGCTGCGGGCGGACGGCGGCGCGGGGCCGGGGCCGGGGGCGGCGGCGCGGGGCCGGGCCCGCTGGCCTGAGCCCGAGCCCGGGGCCGGGCGCGGCGGCCGGGCGGCCGGGCGGCCGGGCGGCGGGGGGGAGCGGCGCCGCGGCGCTCGCTGGATAACATGGCTGACTCGGCCCGGCGCTGCTGGCTGGAGAGAAAACAAGGCGGGCGGGCGGGCGCGGGCGGGGGGGAAGCTGGGCGCAGCAGTTCCGAGGCAACTTTTTTTTTTTCCTCTTCTGCCAGCCCCGCGTCCCCCCGTGTGCGGGGGCGGCGGGCCGCGCGGAGGGAGACGGGGAGCGGCGGGCCGGGGGCGCCTCCCGAGGCGGAGGCCCCCCCCTCACATACAGACACCGCGGTCGGGGGAGGGGGAGGGTCCGGCCGCGCGCCCCCCGCCCCTCCCCCAGGCCGTCATGGCCGAGTGTGTGCGCCAGAGCGCGCCGCGCACCCCGCCCGCCGGCGCTCGCACTCACACTCTCGCACACTCACTCTCGCGCACACACTCACACACATACACACACAAAGGGAAGGAGCCATATTCTCTCGCTCGCCCTCGCGGCGGCGGCGGCGCAGGCGGGGAAGACGCGCAGCGGCCATTCCGTGCGCGCCGGCCCCGGCGGCCGCGGGCGGAGCCAGCCCCCATTTCGAGCGGGGCTGCTCCCTCCGCCGAGCCGACAAAATGGGGGAGGCCGGCGGGCCTGCGCGGGGCGCGGGCGCACGTGGCGGGCCCCGCGCGCGGGGAGACGGGCCTGGAGGCCCGGTCGCCACCCCGCCCTCGGAGGGGGGTGGCGGCCTCCCCGCGCGCGGCCCCGAAGTTGGCGGGCGGGCGGGAGTAGGGGGGCCCGGGTGGCGGGAAGGGGTGCGGAACCCGCCCTGCGTGGCGCCCCAACTTTTCGGGGCTTAAAAATATATATATATACACTCTCCGGGTGGGGGCGGGGGACAGCCCGAGCCACGAGCAGGAGTGGCTTTTGTCCCTCATCCTTGTTTACTCGAAGAAACTTCAGACCGGACGTGTTTAGTCAGAACCGAAATACATCTCGGGGCCAAAACGATAGGAAGCGAGGCTGCCTGGCGGTGGCAGCCTCGCAAATAGCACCGCCACCCCCCCACCCCACCCCCAGCCTGGGTCCGAGCTGCCGCTTCCACGACTCCCTCCTCCCGGCAAAGTTTTGTGCCGAGAAGAGAATATTTTAAAGCAATCATGGGGAAAACTTTAGACAAGCGGGGAATCTGGCCCGTAATCCGGAAAGGTCTACTCAACGTTGGCTCTTACCTACTCCTTACGTAGCTGCATGAATCGGCAGCGTTCCTTTTCTGACCTTTGGGTTTGTTGATTAATAATGGTTTTTTACATGAAAAAAATTTTTTTAATGACCGCTTGGGTATTACATTTAAAACAGATGCAGGAAGATAAGTCACAAATACGGTATGAGTGTACCATTGTGTCTACACTTTTTTTGAGATCCCACTGAAGGACCATTTATTGGGTTGGTGCAGACTCTTCTAGGAATTGTCGATCCCTGACATTTTCTTTGATATTGTGAGGGGTTAATGCCAATGCCGTGTTTAATAACCAGTGCCATGCTGTTCATTGACTCCCCAAGAAGTTAGAGTGCACTTCGGTGCCATAAATTTCATTGTTAACATTAAACTTGTGTTTTTTTATTTTTTTAGATAGATAATTAAACATGGGCAAAGGAGATCCTAAGAAGCCGAGAGGCAAAATGTCATCATATGCATTCTTTGTGCAAACTTGCCGGGAGGAGCACAAGAAGAAGCACCCGGATGCTTCAGTCAACTTCTCAGAGTTTTCTAAGAAGTGCTCAGAGAGGTGGAAGGTAAGAGGGCTGAAAACCTAATGAGAAGGTAATAAAGGCTGAATTCCAAATTGGGATTTTTTTTTTTATTCGGGACAATGTGCATAATGTGGGTGTTGATGTTGGAACAGGTTACTAAATATTTAGCAAAGGATACTGATTTTATTCATTTCCATACTTCACAACTGGTTAAAATTTTGTTGACTGATTTAAGTTTACAAAAATTTTTTTATAGACCATGTCTGCTAAAGAGAAAGGAAAATTTGAAGACATGGCAAAGGCGGACAAGGCCCGTTATGAAAGAGAAATGAAAACTTATATCCCTCCTAAAGGGGAAACAAAAAAGAAGTTCAAGGATCCCAATGCACCCAAGAGGCCTCCGTAAGTATCTGGCCTGTTTTGATTTTTCAAGAAGTATTTTATTGTAGACAAATTTAGCAAGCCACCCTGTGGATCTCCATTCTGTAATCAAAGTTTCTTAGCTAACTGGTATTGGTATATTTAAATTTTTTCCTGTTGGGTGGCAGTTTTAGTTAGAGCAATGGAATTAGAGATACTGACCTCACCCAATATGTCTCCTAAATGTCGTTTTGATTCTTTTTTGTTTCTTGAGAAATCATAAGAGTAATTGCAGAATGTTCATTTGGAGCACTAATAAGTATATGTTCAACTAGTAATGTTGTAAGTTAAAATAATTGTGTGAATTAAGTTTAGTGAGGGATATTTGGCATTTTTTTAACATTATACTCTGTCAAATATGTGGTAGAAATTAGAGGCTGCTTTTATATAGTAGTACAGCACAGTTGTTGGTAAACCTGCAATTCTAAACTTAAATCTCTCCTTTTAGTTCGGCCTTTTTCTTGTTTTGTTCTGAGTATCGTCCAAAAATCAAAGGCGAACATCCTGGCCTGTCCATTGGTGATGTTGCAAAGAAACTGGGAGAGATGTGGAATAACACTGCTGCGGATGACAAGCAGCCTTATGAGAAGAAGGCTGCTAAGCTGAAGGAAAAGTATGAAAAGGTGAGCAGTGTGGGTTTGGTGTAGTGGTGAAAGAGTATGTTAGATGAACAGCTGTACTTGGTGCTGTATCTTAATTTACTATTTTATGATTTCCAATAGGTGTGATGCAGTTTTGAGTACAGCAACTATTCAGTGCACCATTAGCTGTAGTCTGCAAGTCCCTTTCCATCTTTCAAAGAATGTAGATCAAATAAAGTTGTTAAAGTTGTTTGACTTAACATAATTTGTCTTGGGCAAGGGCCATATACACTTAAGCTGGTTTTGTTATTCTCCAACATGTGAATTGATGAAAATTCTGGTAGTCACTTTGAGTCAGATAATGTCATTATTTTAAATGATCAGGCACACAGCATAAAAATAGGCTGGCCCAAGTAATACAGATCTATATTGTTCATAAACACCCTGAAACACTTATGTTCTCTCCCTTATATTAAAAAAACTTGACTAAGTTAGAAAATTTAAAATATTTTAATCTGTACAGTAAATTGATAAAAGAAAAAGCTATAACCCCCCCTTATACTTTTAATTGAAATATTAAGTAAAGTTAGATTTTAGGTTGTTTAGTCATTCTGGAGAAATAAATCCATTTCTAGATGTTTCTGAATTTAATTGCATGCTTGGTGGCAGATAACTTTTTTTTTTTTTAAGGAAAGATTTCCTGTTATGGATTAGGGTCTGTCAGTATAAACCTGTAGAATGCTTTTTTGCATTCAGAAGGTGGCAGTGTCTACCCTTTAATCAGTCTCTACATTCTAGTTTTAATAAACTAAAGTTTGGATGTGGTACATAGTTGTACTTCAGTGAGGCATAGCAATGCAAATATTAGACAGTGTCATACCATGAGCTCTGGATTATTTATAGTTATCTCATAATATTTTTATGACTGAAAGTCCAAGTTGGTGTGAATCTGCAGGTATATGGTATTTTAGTGTATCTGAGTCCTTGTTTTTTTCCATAAAGCTTTGCCATGTTACTTTTATTTCTCCCGTTACTTAACTGTTTTGTCTTTCGTCCCATTTTCTTCCTGCCTTTATTTTGGAAGGATATTGCTGCATACCGAGCTAAAGGGAAGCCTGATGCAGCAAAAAAGGGAGTTGTTAAGGCCGAAAAAAGCAAGAAAAAGAAGGAAGAGGAGGAAGATGAGGAAGATGAAGAGGATGAGGAGGAGGAAGAAGATGAAGAGGATGAGGAGGAGGAGGAAGATGATGATGATGAATAAGTTGGTTCTAGCGCAGTTTTTTTTTTCTTGTCTATAAAGCATTTAACCCCCCTGTACACAACTCACTCCTTTTAAAGAAAAAAAATTGAAATGTAAGGCTGTGTAAGATTTGTTTTTAAACTGTACAGTGTCTTTTTTTGTATAGTTAACACACTACCGAATGTGTCTTTAGATAGCCCTGTCCTGGTGGTATTTTCAATAGCCACTAACCTTGCCTGGTACAGTATGGGGGTTGTAAATTGGCATGGAAATTTAAAGCAGGTTCTTGTTGGTGCACAGCACAAATTAGTTATATATGGGGATGGTAGTTTTTTCATCTTCAGTTGTCTCTGATGCAGCTTATACGAATAATTGTTGTTCTGTTAACTGAATACCACTCTGTAATTGCAAAAGAAAAAGAAAAAAAGTTGCAGCTGTTTTGTTGACATTCTGAATGCTTCTAAGTAAATACAATTTTTTTTATTAGTATTGTTGTCCTTTTCATAGGTCTGAAAATTTTTCTTAAGGGGAAGCTAGTCTTTTGCTTTTGCCCATTTTGGATCACACGGATTATTACACTGTTTTATCTTTCATATAGTTAGCTGATAAATAAAAAGCTTTTGTCTGCGCACCCTGCATACCCATGATGAGGGTAATAAAAGTTGAATTGAGACAGTTTTCATCCATAACTGAAACTTAAATCTTGACCAGTTGATAGCGGATTTCACATAGCCCAGTTACATTTACCAAGTGAAGAGTAACCAATCTACTCACAGCACGGGATTATTAGAATCAAACATTTTGAAAGTCTGTCCTTGAAGGACTAATAGAAAAGTATGTTCTAATCTTTACATGAGGACTCTACACTCTTTAACTCCCATTACCATGTAATGGCAGTTATATTTGCAGTTCCCACGTTAAAGACCCGAGAATGTATCCCCAAAAGCGTGAGCATAAAATACAAGACTGCCATATTGTTTTTTTGTCTATGATTGTCCCAGCAAAAGCTCTGGGAAAAAAGTGCTGGCTGTAAATGTCTTCTGTTTATCCAAATAGAGATTGTTTAGGAAACTTGAGACCCTTGGTTAAAGGTATTTTTAATTAATTGGGCCAACTTTTAAAGTTATATACCACATTTTAAATCAGGTATATATCTTCCTGTATTATGGTTTGCCCCTTTATAAATCAAGTAGACGAGGGAGGAAGATGCTTTGTATCTCAGTATGAATTAACTGATTTATTTGAATTTGACTTTTACAAAACTCCAGCTCATTCATTAGGGTCATATGTTTATCTGCTTAGCAGTTATAGGGAACAATTTGGCAATTTTGTGGTTTTTGAGATTATTGTTCTCTTAAAGTGCCAGTGTTTTAAAATAGCGTTCTTGTAATTTTACACGCTTTTGTGATGGAGTGCTGTTTTGTTATATAATTTTGACTTGGATTCTTTCCATTTGCATTTGTTTATGTAATTTCAGGAGGAATACTGAACATCTGAGTCCTGGATGATACTAATAAACTAATAATTGCAGAGGTTTTAAATATTAGTTAAATGGCTTTCACTTAAGATTTTTGTTACATACATATTTTATCTTAATACCTCTTAGCAACATCCTTTAAGTGTGAGGGCTGCCAAAGTTTATCCCTTTAAAAATACTCACTTCACCCTTATAAATAGGTTAATGGGCTGATAAAAAAAGATTTTCATGAAACATTCCCTGTGTTCTCAGACTGCTATGTCTATAAATTAGGAAAAAACTAATTTTGTTTTCAGACTACTGAATTAATAGTTTTACAAAGCAAGGCACATGTAAGTAAAAAGCAGAATAGTGATTATAAATCTTAACATCCCTTTTCTAAGCTACAGGAGAGGACAACAAAGGAAGACTGAAATTGTCGAAATTTATCAAATTTTTGGTCAAGAGGAACAAGGCATTATCTCTGATTTATATGCAAGTTTCCTATAGGTATAGAAATTGTTACTACTGGTGATCCTAAGTGGATAAATTCTGCCCTGAGGAACTTCAGTGGGTGTTACGTGTCAGAAGATGTTGAGAATGGGAACACAGATTTTTTTCAGGTTAACTAACATTCAGGTCTTGACAGGAAGACATGGACAAAAACCCTCTTCAATCTTCAGACATACTAACTCAAAGTATACCCTGAAGCTTGGGTATCCAAAACTCAAGTAAATGAAGGTAGGAAGCAATTTAGATAATTTAGTGGAAAATCCTTGTTTAATGAGATGGTTTTAAAAAGTTAATGCAGAGGAACTATTTCAGTGTTTAGAAATAGAACACTATGAGCTATAAAGATTTTCTTCATATCAGATTAAACAGTATAGTATTTTCTGCATTTTAAAAATCGATAACAAAATTGGCATACTGATTTAAAAAGTTAATTGTTTTCCTGAAGGTTGGGAGCTGTTGGCTGGTTAGTTACTATAATTGTCCTCATGGTCTTGCTATCAGTTACTGATACCTGCTGTATTAATTTTCTTAATCTGGAAATAGTGTCCTGTGTACCACAGGGGTAAGACTCAAATGATAAAGATGAAAAGTGCCTGAGTGACAGATGTTCAGTAAATACTTCATGGCCTGGGGGATTTTCTCAGTATTGTTAGATCTTAGGGTAGTATCCAGCTATATTGAAGATGCACTGGGAATACAAGATGGAAACTAATGAATGGAAAGTGTGGGCAACTCCCTTGCTTGGCATCATATAAACCATGACAGAAGTTCAAATTTAGGTCTGTTTGGTGTAACACCTTCTGAAAGGGCCTGAAATACCTCTCTTAATACCTGCCAGGTACTTTTTGCATAGGATGGTATCACTATAAATTAGCACAAATCCATTACAGTTGAAATTTTGGGATTAACTGCTGCTCAAGTGTGAACCATTGACTAGTAACTAGCCTGTTAAGTGGTAAGTTATTTAAATTTTTTTTTTCACATTGATGCATTGTCATTTTCTATAAATTGACTCTTGAAATGCTTTTAAAACAAAAGCTAGGAAACTGGATACCTATGCGACAAGAGATGCAAGCTAGTTCACTTGCCCGCTTGTTACAGCGAAGACATGAACAGTGCTAACACTTGCCAGAACTTGGGAAGTTCCCTGGATCTAAGCCAGGTTGCTCCCTGGAGTAACAAGGCAAAACGTGGCTCTGCTCTAAGAACACTGCTATTTAACAATACACCCTGGCGCAGGACATAGGATGACAGGCATAAATTAATGGGCCATACTCGAGAATATGCCCCCACCTTCTAGTAGGCTTTGGTCTGAAATTAGAGCTACCAGTAAAAGTGAATGTCACTCAGTGTCTGACTCTGCGACCCCATGAACTGCAGCCCACTAGGCTCCTCTGTCCATGGTTTCTCAAGGCAAGAATACTGGAGTGAGTAGCCATTCTCTTTTCCAGGGGAGCTTCCCAACCCAGGGATCAAATCGGGGTCTCCATTGTAGGCAGACTCTTTACTATCTGAGCCACAAGGGAAACCTGAGTCATGTCATTGGTTTGGACTGTGTATGTAACTGGCTAGAAAGGAGGAAGTAGTAGTACAGATCCAGAATAAGATGAGGAATTATGGCAGCTTGAACAATGGTAGGATCTAGGATGCAGAGAATGAAAGCCAATCAACAGTGGTGAGAAAATCAGTGAAAAAGGGTTAAAGAGACTCTTGTACTTTTTTTTTCTCTTCAGGCACACAATTCAAACACAAGTGACATTCCATGATATGATGTTTCCATAATACATTTGATAATTACTGATGGTCATTCATGTTGTTTGCTATTTTTTATTATTCCTAACTACCACAGTGAACACCTTGAAATAGAATTGCTGAGTCAAGATACGTGCATTTAAAATTTGACAGAAACTGACAAAATGACCCCTTCCCCAAGGCTATCCTTACTGTGAAAGTTTTTAGCAATGATTTCTAAGATAAATCAGGATTTTTTTTTACTGATTATTCTTTGGCTCTGTGAAATGACTTTTCTTGTTGCATTTTTTTAATTTATTTTTTAAACTGAAGGATAATTGATTTACAGGCTCTCCATTTTTAAAAGATGAGAAATTAAAATACTGAAATACTGTTGTTTGTTCAGAGCCACCCAAACACAAGGAGGTAGAATCAGACATGAGAGATCCTTGGGTTGACTATTTAGACTTTAAACTACTGAACAAATTATTTCTCTATGAAGTTACTGCAATAATGAATTCACTGTGTAAAAATGAGGAACTTCTATTTTGGCATCTTGGATCCAGGAGTTTACCTGGGGAAGGATTTTTCTAGCAGAGACTGTGTGTCAATCTTTACAGAAGCTGCAATCAATAGTTTTGGAGAAAAGTATAGTCAAGGATTGTGTGGGCCAGATTCCGGGCATTAGGAGATGATAGGTTATTTGGAAAACAGGAATGGATATTGAGGATCTGCCTTAAATGGGATAAAATGACCACTGCTTCACCTCCTTGCTGGAGATGGTACTTTAGGAAAAACAGCATACTGCAAATGCATTTATAAGTGCAATTGTATTAATAGACTTTAAAGTGGAATTAAACCTAGTTCCTTAGAATTACATAGAAGCTCTAATTACAAGCTTTACCATACTTTTCCTTCACTGGGTTTCAACTAGGGATCATCCTATAAAGTGTTCTGAACATATGCAGGTAAGAAAAGTCCTAAAGCAAATAAGCATGGGCTAGGGGTGAGCTGTACGTAAGAACTTGGGGCTGTTCAGAGCAAGGACATGGCAGCCCCTCCCTACTCACCGGCTCACTGGCCTAAATTTCAGGGAACCTCAAGTCTTGCTCTGCCACTTGGAGCCCACCTGGCTGGGATTTGGGCATGGTGAGGACTAGACACACACGGACTGAGAAGTCTTTTTTTTTTTTTTTTTTAACAAGAGGAACAAGAGGTGTCATTGCTTTGGGACTGCAAAGAGATCAAACCAGTCAGTCCTACAGGAAATCAACTCTGAAAATTCACTGGAAGAACTGATGCTGAAGCTCCAATACTTCGG